AAATGGTAGTAATGTTGACCCTGAACTGCACATACACAAACAAAAAAAATACCTCAGTAGCACTATGATAAACAATAAAACAAACAAAAGCAATAAAATTAAAATTAAAATAAAAAAGAGAAATATGTTGCACAAAGCATTGCTCTGTTGTAATCAACAGTCCTCGGCAACGGCGCCGAAAACTTTATAACTTCTCGAAAAATGTATCAATAATGTTGCAGTAATAAAAAGATCGAACCCACGAGGATTATGTTCGAACAAAACAATGGCTTAAGTATAAGCAGTGTTAGGCGAAATAACTCATTAAATAACTCACTAACAACTACTCAGAGTTTTCTATCCCTAATCTGCCAGCATAAGTAGTGTTAGGCGATGTATATTCTGTTAATTTCCTGTGCCACTACTTGAGGTCTCATATCCCTATTCAACCGACTTAAGTATAACAATTGCCCTAGGTCTAACACATATGCTACAGGTCAGAAACTTCTATGTGTCTAACAACAGATTAACAGAGTATCTCAAATAAAAAGAATTAAGCATAAGCAACAACTAAATAAAATTATAATTCAAAGGAATTAAACAAAGTCAAACCGCCATATAATGCTAGAAAGATTGAATAAGGTTCATAATCACACAACCTAACCTAAGAGGATTTAGCTGCACATTATTTAGAGAAAAATGCCACAATCGGTAGATAAAGATAACATAAGAAGTCCCTTGAAGAGATGACCTCCAATGGCTTCAAATACCCTAAAAATCCTTTTAAAATGTAGAAAATCCCCTTTTAAAGCTGTCATAACGGGTAATACTGCATCAGAAAAAGCAACCATCACGCGCATTATAAAAGCATTGCACGCGCGATGCATCCTTTTCACCTCTATCGTGCACGCGATGGCGCGCGATGCCACGCGTGATTATTCCACTAGTTGCGTGTTTTCACCATTTTTACCATAATTTTCACTAAGTCTCATGCTTCCATACTTGGCTATTTTTCACTCATTCTTGGGTCTTTCTTCATCATTTTGCCTTCTCTTTCGCTAATCTTCTCCCAATTATTCGACTGATTATATGTAATGACGAACTGTCATCAAAGATTCAATCAGATTTGTTGTTATATTATTGTAATGTATTTGTATGATTTGTTTGATAGTTGTTGAAGATCAAATAAATTTAAATGGATACTTACATTTGAATTTGAATTAATAACAAATCATATATTTTTTTGGAGATCTTTATGGAGTAAATCAAATCCAACAATATTTGATATTATTTTGGATGACATTAAATAAAAAAATCCAAAGAAGAAATGTCCAGAATTGCACTTCTATTTAAGGAGACTCAAACATCAATTTTAAGGTGTGCAAGTTTTGAAGATACCTAGTGTTAGGGTTTGTCTTTTAAGTTTTTGTTTATGTTATCTTTGTGCACCATTCTAGCGCACATTTTCATATCTTAAGGCATGGAGGTTGGTTTGTTAGTATAGTTGTAAAACTTTGTTCTAAGATACTAAGTCTATAAACTTGAGAATAAAATGTTTCTTGTATTTCACGTTAATCTCATAACAAGGATTAGTGTTGAATCTTTGTAAACACCAAACTATGTTTTAGTAACTCAGCATAGTTGTTGATCTGTCTTATTTAAGTTGTAACTTTAAAAGTCAATAACCTTGTTATTAAAGTGGATCACTAGTGATTAATGGTTGAAGAAATTGGTTGAAAAAATATTTGTTCACCTTCTTCATCTTTGTTTATGTATAGATTTAAATTTCTTTTGGTATTTTAGTTTGTTATTATGTATAGCTTTAAATTTCTTTTGGTATTTTAGTTTGTTTAAATTGATCTGATTAAAAAAATCTTCCTCTAATTTATAAGCTAAGAAAGTAATGAAGATCCATATTTTTAGTTTATGAACTCCCTTTTCTTATAAAACTCATCTTCAACACTCAATTAGTGGAAAAAAATGATAACTTAACACATGTTATTGAAATAAGTGGAATTTTTCAAGTTTATTTCTTTTTACAAATAATTTACCTTTTTATCAACCGTAATTAAATCAAAATTTATTCTGAACTGACATTGCTAACATAGACGATTGAGTTAAATTTTACATATAACATAATTTTAATTGTATATAAAAATACTTTAGTCTTAATTATTTTAAATATATATAATAAAGATTATATTGAAACAAAAACAAATGAATAATAAATTGTGTTGCTATCCCATATATATAAAGTAAAATAAGGAGGCCAATATTTTATGCTACAAATTAAATTGGTTATAAAAGCCATCATCTTAAACATAAGACAAATAAAGGACAAATGCTTCCTCTCCTAAGAAGATAGATGCACAGTCTAAACATTATGAGAAGTGTCCAATAATCATGCATGCAATGTGCACATCAGGCATTGTGAAAAGAGATCAAAGAAGCCCCGTGAGTTCCATTATCATATACTACCATCCCTATATTTTGTCACTATGCATTTGACTTCTATGTCCTATCCTATCTCCATCCCTTTGGGTTTTATCCTGCAACCAAACAGAATAAAACACTCAACTTAATTCTTTATATATTCTCATCAAGTTTGTTCCGTTGCAATGGAAGAAGCTCTAGCAAATAAGTTCCTAATTATTTTCGTATTTCTCGCCTCAATTATTGTGAACTAATTAATATCACATGTGTGTGATTATGTTATGCGACAACTAAAACCAATGCTACGAAGAAGTTAAGCATGTGCAGTAGGACCACTTGAATAAAAAAAAAAAATAGAACGTGGAGGAACAGGAACATTGAAGTAGTAAATGTGTAATGTAAGAGAAATGGATTAAAAAAGTCGTAATAGTAGGGTTTGAGAAGAATTTTTTACACAAATGACACACATTGAAATGAAAAATACCATATTGTCACACATTGATTTTTACTATAGGTTCGTCCATTGGAAGGACGTCTAGAAAATGTAGTTGAGGTTCGGCCATCCATTGGCTGACTCTATACTAAATAATTTTTTTTTGTTTTTTTTTATAATTTCAAAAATAAATATATTATATATTATTATTTTATGTTTTAAATTGTTTTTATATATTAAAATTATTTAAGTGATATTTTATATTAACAAATAAATAATTTAATTATTTTAAATATTTTTTTAATATTATTAAATATTCAGATTATATAATCAATTATTTAACTAAATAATTATATAAAATAATAAATTAAATCTTAAATAAAGAAAATTTTATAAATTAAATAATAAAGGAAATCATAAATGATTAAATCATAAGTTAAATAATAATTAAACCATTAAATTTTAAATTAAATAATATATAATAATTAAATTTTAGAATTATATAAAATAATAAATTAAATCATAAAGAAAATTTTATTTATGATCATAAAGGAAATTTATTTATGATCATAAATAATTTCCTTTATGATTTATGAATTTATAATCTAAAATCTCCATAGATTATAGATGTATGATCTTAAAGGAAATTTTATAAATTAAATCATAAATTAAATCATAAAGGAAATCATAAATAATTAAATCATAAATTAAATAATAATTAAATCATTTAAATCATAAAGGAAATCATAAATTAAAATAACTAAATAATCATAAATTAAATCATAAATAAAATAATAAATTAAAATCTTAGGATCATAATTTCCTTTAAGATCATACATTTATAATCTTATGATCATACATTTATAAATCTTATGATTTCCTTTAAGATCATATATTTATTTATAAATCTTTAAGATCATAATTTCCTTTAAGATCATACATTTATAAATCTTATGATCATAATTTCCTTTAAAATCATACATTTATAATCTATAGAGATTTTAGATTATAAATTCATAAATCATAAAGGAAATTATTTATGATCATAAATAAATTTCCTTTATGATCATAAAAAAATTTCCTTTATGATTTAATTTATTATTTCATATAATATAAAAATTTAATTATTATATATGATTTAATATAAAATTAATGATTTAATTATTATTTAAAATCATAAATTTATAATCTATGGGGATTTTAAGATTATAAATTCATAAATCATAAAGGAAATTATTTATGATCATAAATAAATTTCCTTTATGATCATAAATAAAATTTTCTTTATGATTTAATTTATTATTTTATATAATTCTAAAATTTAATTATTATATATTATTTAATTTAAAATTTAATGGTTTAATTATTATTTAATTTATGATTTAATCCTTTATGATTTAATTTATAAAATTTTCTTTATTTAAGATTTAATTTATTATTTTATATAATTATTTCGTTAAATAATTGATTAGATAATCTGAATATTTAATAATATTAAAAAAATATTTAAAATAATTAAATTATTTATTTGTTAATATAAAATATCTTTTAAATAATTTTAATATATAAAAAACAATTTAAAACATAAAATAATAATATATAATATATATTTATTTTTGAAATTAAAAAAAAAACAAAAAAAAATTACGTTGTATAGGGTCGGTCAATGGCCCCAACTACCTTTTTTTTGGACTTTCATTGGTTCGTTCTTCCAATAGACGAACCCATAATAAAAATGTAGCATTTTTGTAATTTTTTTTTAATGTGTGGCAATATGGTATTTTTCATTTCAATGTCAAAACTATCTTATATTGATTTGACAAACATCAACATCTCCATATAGATACAAACTTTAGTACATTTTCATTTGATGAGTCACGCTTCCAAAAAAAACAAAAAGAGAGATAATTATCATTTAAAAACATTATAAAAATTAAAATATTGGATATATGGATTCCTAATAAAACAAGCAATTAAGTTTATAAAAATAAAATTGAATCAATATCATTTTCAGCGTCTAGTGTTTAATATCAATATTCTCATACATATCTTGTTCTAATTCATGTTATATTTATACATTACCTTCTTGTATCCTCCGAGAGGTAGGAGATTATTACAAAGTGCCAGTTGTATTAACATAGAAATCATCGTAAAAATGGGAAAGAAAGTAATTGTTCAGGAGAAACAAAATTTCAACAACTTGATTAAGGTTTTGAAACCTAAAGTCTACATCACTAATAGTTCATGTTTCAAGAAGTTAGTTCAAGAACTAACTGGAAATGCAGATTCCAACAGTTTGTCTCCACAAACATTGGAAGTGTCAAAAGTTGTTGAGAATTGTAACATTATTGAAACTGAAACTACTAGTTTTGATAATTCAGTTTCAACTGAGGGAACAAGTTACAACTCTTCTCAAACATCTGGATTTTCTTGTGATGATAGAGTGTTGAATGAAGAATTCAATCAAGTTTGCAACCAACTTTGTTTAGATAATGAATCATTGTTCTTCCAAGATTTTATGGTGAATCAACCTCTTGATGAATTGATGGCATTTCAGAATGTTGAATCACTACTTTTTGATGTTGAATTACCTAATCCATTTTACAATTATTGTCAAGAGATTGAAGGGACAGATGTCAGCATATATGACTATGAGCTTCTTTAACCATGTCCTTCTTTATTGGTTTGATTTTGTTTCTGTTTATAATTTACTTTTTCTTGTTTATGGTTTGTATATTGTGTAGAATTATAGTTATGATGCATATGATTTTGTTTCTGTTTATAATTTACTTTTCTTGTTTATGGTTTGTATATTGTGTAGAATTATAGTTATGATGCATATATGCATGTATATTCTTTTGTATATATAAAACACACATCCTTGCTTGCTATGTCCTAATGTTAATGAGTGTCTATGAGACAATGGTTAAAATATTAAAAAAAAGTAAGATGGACATTATTTAAAAGTCTAAAAATATATGTTTTTAAAAAAATATGTCATTGAAAACATAAATAATTAACTTTTTAAAGAATTTTTTATGTATTCAATAAATTAAATATATAGTATTTTTCTTATTTAAAATTCTTAACCAGTACTCCCAGAACACGGGTTAGCATGACCTTTTTTTTAATGCACACTTGAGGGACTGACTACATAAGTTCAGGTCTCTTTCCGGGCCAGGTACAAACCCATGATCCAATGAGATCTGGAAAGTATCTGGGCTTCGATTGATCATTGTGCCAAAGAAACTAGACTGTCCCTAGACAAACACATTCAATCGATAGCAGGAAAGCTTCAATACACAGATAACTTTAAAAACACATTAATAGTCATAAATGGTCGGTCTCAGATAAAAAAGAAAGAAAGAGATTTGATGTCCATTCATTTTCCCTAGTCAAACAGAAAGACTTGCATCATAATGAGAAATGAATCGGTCATAAAGGATTTAGAACATGCGTGGCCTTATAAAAACTAGTGATCGCCACACATTAGTGACAAACTTCTCATACCATTCACACTTATAAAAAAACATTGTGACTCTTACAGGCCTATCACTGGTAGAGTTATCAAACTAGTGTACTCCACATGTACATTTGGCGTCCACCATAGGATCCAGTAGAATTGGACTGGGTCGTACAATCATATACAAATATCAACATCTTATTATCCCACGTGCAATGCGTATAAAATAGTAAATTGGGTGGGTGTGAGGGTTTCGAGTTTGAATGCGAAAATAAAATAAGCATTCAAAAAATAATAAGAAAGCGACAAATTGTATATAGAACCCTCTATTTCTCTATTGTTGATGTTTCATGCCTTACATGAATAATCTAATCACTATAATCCCACGACGAGTTAACAAAACTGCTATAACCAATCCCTTGCGATATAGCTCACCAATCATTACTCAGAGTTTCCTTCCCTAGTACACTAGCGTAAGTAGGATTAGGCGATGCAATAGAGCGTTAATTCACTACCCACTACTCGGGGTATCTATTCCTATTCAACCATCGTAGGCACAACAATTACCCTAAGTTCAACAAATAGACTAATGGTCAGTATTTCCTATGTACCTAATATCAAATTAAAAGAGTATCTCACATAAAAAGCATTACGGACAATAAGAAAATGAATAGAATTATAAGTCAAAGTATTCATGCAAAGTCAAATCAACATATTACCCAATAATATTGAAACAGGTTCATCACACACAACCTAAACTAGAGGAGTTTAGCTACTTATAATTCAGATTACAATACCAAATAAAGAAAGAAGAATAGAATATGGTTTCCCTTGAATATCATATGATTTCCCTTCACACTTAGCTATTTTTCCCTCATTATTTGGTCTTTCTTCTTCATTTTAACTCCTCTTTAAATTGCTTTAATCTGATTCTTGTACTAAATTTATGAAATGACGAACTTTCATCACAACCGCAAACTTGAATCATTGCTTGTCCTCAAGTAACTCGCCTACAAATGCACATTTCAATAGAAAATAAGTCGCACAATAACAATTAAACATCACCATATAATATTTTTCTTTACATGACCATCGTTCTGGCTTCCAACTTCAATTTGGCAAATTCGAAAAATATCCTCAAACTTTGACGAGTATTTAACCTGTCTCTCAACTCACTTTGACTCATTCAATGGATAAGGTCAACTCTGAATCAACATGAAAAATAAATTATGCTTAACTTGATCATGTTATAATATAATTCATCACAAAAATCACAAGACACACATTTAGGTCTTTCTAGGTTGTATCTTGACTTATGTTTGGGTAGGATATTTTTAAGAAACTATGTTTAAACCTTTGGAGTTAGGTGCCTAATTCTCCTTCTATTCTCATACCCTTTTGTTCCTTCTTGGGTACTAGAGATTTGGTCCTTATTATGCACTTTTATATTCTTTTACTCTTTTTTATTGAAGACGTTTCCTTTTTCATTTATTTTTTTCTCAAAATTTTGAATTTTTGACTAATCTTCTCTAGTACCCCAACCGCAAACTTAGAACTTTGCTCACTTCCAAGAGAAACCCAAAACATAATCTTTTTCATACAACTTAAGATTATACTTCTACCTAACTCCAAAGAGAGGGTGGAAAGAAAAGATCTTTCAAGTCATATGGCTAAGAATTTTAGGATACATCATCGAAAGGATGACTAAGCTCAAAGTGGTTAGCAATTGGATAAAACTATTACTACAGGATGGTTACAAAGCCTCAAAGTTATAAACAAACAACTGCCTCATTGTGTGTTAATCAAACTAGGTAAACTAAATTGAAAATAGATCAAACCAAATAAAATATTAATGCATGTATACACTTAAAAAGAAAGAAAAGTGAACACTGGAATTATTTTCTCATCCTTTGCCTTCAAGTTGTAATTTTCTTTCTTGATGATCAAGTTTTTTTTCTTGTTTGGATCATTTATTAAATGCTAAAGAGATAAACTTGTAAATCTGAAAAAGAAAAAAAAAACAACTACAAACTTGTTTATTGAAGACAATTAACTAAATAATACAATGGGAGGGAAGAGAACTTATATAATAGTTATTTCTCTTCTCTAGGTATACACTTGAAAATAAAAATAAAGATAAAGTCTTATAAAAAAAACAAAAAAACAAAAAACAAATTACATGTCTTTTCATATGTTATAATTGTAGAAAAGATCATGCATATCATTCATTGTGTTATTAAAGACATTATTCTGCCTAGTCCATTCTGCGTGCATATGGTCTCTCCTCCTTTCTTACTATTGTTCTTGGTTGTTGAAGTAGTTATTCATCTCTTCATCTGGTACAAACAGGCTCTTAAGCTTTGAGCCAACATATGATTTTCTTATTGATTATAGAAGTCTTTGTACACCGGAATAAATTTAGGAGGGTCAGCATACAAAGTGGGAGAAACTTCCAAAATCCATCTTGTAACCCCTGAAGGCGACGATAAACACAAGAAATGAGGGGTTTGAATTTGGTTTCTAAAAAGCAAAGCTTTTTTACAAACCAATTCAACAAACAAGAACAAGAAAAATGAAAATAATAAGTTATTTTATCTGGGTTCGTTGTTAACAAAGCTACCTCCTGACCACTCACCAAGGTGATTTCTCCTTCTCAAAAGGACTTAATCCACTATAATAAAATAGATTACAGACACCACAAATACCATTGTACTTGTCTTCTTGAGTATGCAGACTAAACCCTAGTCATTCAAGGTAATCACTCAAACAAACTTGAGACTTACAACAGTGTTTACAAGATTGCTTCTACAAGGTAGATTAACACAAAATTTAATTATAATGACTTAATCACATAGACGAACAAAAGTTCTAAGTTTTTTTACAATATTCACAGTAGTAGCAGAGAAATAAAGTAGCTTATCAGCATTGAATAACGTGTGAATATTGAGCAAATTAGCTGCTTGACCCATTCTTCTGGGTCTTCCTTTTATAGCCAGAGAAAGATTCGTTGGAAGGTAAAATAGGAATCTTCATGTGTGAGCTGGCATCTTGAATGACCGTCTTCAATGATGGGAGAAAATGATCGTACAACATAAATGTCATTACTTCATAAAATCCGTGTAGTGGAAGGAATGTTTTTATTTGGTACAACATACTATTTATCTCACATAACAATGTTCTCTTATCTTCTTCCATTTAATAGAGGCTTTTGAATGTAAGGTTGTTGAATCATTCATAGAAAGATCAAGAGCCTATTGAGATTCTTCAGAACTACACTATTCAAAAACTTGACATTGTTCCTCAGAATCTGGTCTTTAGAGTCTTCAACAATTTATTCTTCAGAATCTTCAGCATGAGATTAGAGTTCTAAAGGGAGTCAGTCCTTAAGAGTCTCTTCATTAAGATTTAGATTCAAAATCTTGAGCATGAATGTTCTTCAGGACTATAGTCTACGAGCTTTCTCTAACTTGACCGCTTTTTATGAATATTGTATCTCTATAGAGTCAGAGTGTGTTGATTCTAGAATTTGATGACGTTACACAACATGGCTTCAGTCTCAGAACCTATTTATCATAAACTACACACTAGATAAAATCATTAGTGTAAAAAATTGTTCCATCTCAATCCACATATTGTTATCATCAAAACTTAGAGGACAGATGCAGAACGAAAGCTTGTTTTCACAACCCCCACAACGTGAGCTTCCATTCTTCTTTGGAATTTTAAAGTTTGTTGACCTTGCATTTGTTATTGGTTTTGCATTTTTGGTTGGTATAATTCTTCATTATTTCCTTCTTAATTTTCCTCTTGATCATTTTGAGCAGCTTCTCGTTGAAGCATATGTTTCAGCCTTCTTATATCCGAGGTGTTGAGAGGTTCCTTCAGACTGATCTCTCATCATTGGGGTACTCAGGTGTACCTGTTCTCCTGCACATCTCATTCATAACATAAAAATTCCCACAAGTTCTTTGTTCAATGTTAGCCATATATTTTGTATTTTCAGCAATTTAGCGTCCTAAGTTAATAGGCCCCCCTTAAAAGAGCAAAAAGACCTAAACACCACCTCAAAATGAATTGTGATTAATTAAATGCAGCTTCTAAAGTTTGCAAAAAGAATATGATGCCCAAGCCCTACGAATTTGGCGGAATTTGGTAGCTTTTAGGTGCAACATTAAGCCACGCTCCACCACCCACTATGCCCC